GGAACCTCATGGAATCAAGGGGCCATTGTGACACTGCAGGGTCCCATGGAAGCAAAAGAATCCCTGTGACATTGTGGAACCTCATGGAACCAACAGGCCATTGTGACACTGCAGGGCTCATGGAACCAAAGGCTTCCTGGGACACTGTGGAATCTCATGGAACCAAGGGGCCACTGTGATATGTGGGGCCTCCTAGAACCAAAGGAGTCCTGAGACATTTTGCAAACTCATGGAATCAAGGGTCCATTATCACACTGCAGAGCCTTACGAAGCCAAATGGACCCTGTGACTCTGTGGAACCTCATGGAATCTAATGGCCATTCCCACACTGTAAAACCTCATGGATACTGTCAGGTTCCCATTATTAAGAGACACCTCTGCCCAAATTCAGCTGCAAAGGAGACCATGTGCCAAAGTCAACAGTCTGGGTTTGATTTAACAGTAAAGAGGAGGGAGAGAGAGAGAAAGAAATAGAAAGAGAGGGAAGAAGAGGGTGGTGGGAAGCCAGTGAGAGAGAGACAGAGATGAAGTAAATGTATCACACCATGGAGATCCCTGAGGCTCCCACCGGTCCTTCTTCACCCTGCTCTGCTCAGTGGAGGGTCCCCAAGTTGTGCTTCTGGGCTATCACTTTTATACAGCCCAAGCCCTGGGTATTCAGGGGGGTAGATGCTGTTCCCACAGCTTGGGCTGGCACCTGTACAAGGACTTGCTTCCTTTCCCACAGCTTGCCACGGTGGGAGTTTTGCCCAGTGTGCTTCCAGTCTGCAGGTGGGAATCTTTGTCTGGATGGGTTCCCCAGACCTACCTTACCAGCCCTGCCTTCCTGTTGGGGCTGTCTGCTCTTTCCCACAGTCTGCACAGTGCAATTCTGTCCTGGGGGCTACTTCCAGAGCTTCACCTCCCTTTAGGCCTTGGAATTAAATGCCTTCCTGTTTGCCACCAGTGCTTATGTGTTGTGGTGCCTTATGGGATTTTCCTGCTTTGACAGTGTTTTGAGACAGTTCATTGTGCCCTTCAAGTCCTTACATGTGCACACACACACCACTCTCACCAGTGTCTGGCCCTCCAAAGAACACAAGCCCTGATGATTTGTAGCTCCCACTCCAGTGGTTGGCACTTGGACCTCCCTCCATACCCAGAGCTCAGAGCTCCCTTGTGCCAGAAAGTTTAAAGAGATTGTGCCTCATTCTGCCAAGACAACCCTTGGAAAAAAGTGTCCCTCTGTGTTTCCTGAGATAAGAGCACTCTACTGTCATCTTCCAAAACCTTGGAGAGGTCCCAGAGATCTCCCAGGAAGGAATCTGGGGCCTCAAGCACATGACCTGTATATAGAGGCTGAGGACTCAGGGGTCAGTGGTGTGAAGATTGAGGACAGTAGAGGAGTAGCCTGAGAGGTCTGGAAGGGGGGTGTGAGAGCTGGTGGAGCTTTTCTTCCTGTCAGAAAACAGCCTAAGAAAGAACTAGTGCCACCAAGGGCAGCTGGGGTGGCCTAGACTGGTGACAAGAAGTCAGAACTTTCCCTCCAAGGTCAGTGTTGTGGTGCAATATGTCACAAAGAAGGAGTCTGGATGAGCCCAAGGCTTTGTGTGTGCAGGAAGAGCCAGGGAGGACGCAGAGATGTCAGTGCAGGACGGTGCCAGCCAGGTGGGGCAGCCGGGGGGATGACGACAGCCTGCAGGGAAAGGGGCAGGGCATGGACACCGTAGGACAGCCTGGGCTGGAGAGGAGACAGGGAGGGGGAGAAGCTGAAAGGCCCTGACACAGCCACCTTCTGCAGGCCTTTGGCCAGGGCTGCTGTCTGTGCCCCTGATGCCAGGAGGAGGGGAGTGCCCCTTGCAGCCCTGGGGCCTCATGGCCTCCTTGTCCCTGCTCAGCAGCCTGGCAGGTGCCACCCCATGGGCCTGCCCTTGGCATTGCACATCCCACATCCCAGTGCCCCAGGAAGAGCCCTGAGGAATGAGGCAGGGACAGGATCTGCCTTCCCAGGGGCTGGGGGTCAGGGCTTGGTCTGTTGGATTAAGGAAACAAGTCAAGGTTTCTTCAGCATCAGAGCCACCTTTCCCTTGCTTGTCCATCCTTGTCATCACTGTCTGCACTTTTCTGCTCCAACTGGAATCTGGGGACAAGTTCTCAGCTGTGCCCCTCAGTGAGACTCATTAACACTACAAGAAACTTTAGTGTTTCCATCTCACTTTGACTTCTTGAAAAGTTGTTTGAACTTACTTTCAGGGACTGAGTCTCATGTAAACAATGAGAAACCCCCTGAGGGTCATGAAATGCCTGGGGCTGTTGCTGTGCTGCTGAGCTGGGCAGGGCTCCTGGCACACAGGGAGCTCCTGGCAAGCAAGAAGAGCTTCAAAGAGACAGCTCTGCTGGTGAGCAGCTCCTCTGCACAGCCCAGCAGGGCTGAGGGCACTGCCTGCAACACCCAGGGCACAGGAGAGAAGGCAGAGAGATGAGAGGCAGCCTGGGCTGGGAGGTGACTGAGCTCTCACTTCACAAGAAACCTTCCCAGGATTTGAAGGAGGAATTCTCTGGCTGTAGGAAAGTTCAGCTTGCCTTCCTGGAGGCATCTCCTAAAGCTGGCACATCCCACAGCTTCCAGGATCTTTCAGCAGGACTCTCCCAGTTGCTGCAGTGCAGGGGAAGTGGCCATATGGCAGAGCAGGGCAGGAGCTGCAGGCAGCAAGGGCAGAGAGGAGAAGGGAGTAGGAGGTTCAAGGGATCCTGGGGTGGGAGGACAGGGCAGAGCTGCTCAGGGCAGGAACCTTGCCAGCCCTTTGCCACGGTCAGGCTGTGGCTGCAGAGCAGTGCAGGGGAGTTCCTGCAAGTGCCTCTCCCAGCTGCCAAATGGCAGCAGTGGCAGGAGCTGTCAGGATGGCTCTGCTGGATTTGCTGGGGTGCAGCAGGAGAAGCTGCTGCAGAGCAGGACTTGCTGCTGCCCCCTCAGAGGCCCAGGGCCAGAAGGTTCCCTGTGCCAGGGCTGGCTGTGGGGTGGGAAGGTGGGGGTGCAGCCAGGGGTGCCCAGGGCTGTGGGGCAGAGCAGGGTCCTGCCCCCAGGGCTCTGTGTGCTGGGGCAGGGACTCTGCTGCCTGCCAGGGTCAGCTCTCAGCCCGGCCAAGGAGCTGCCACGGCCCTGCAGGGAGAAGGGGTGGGTGGAAGGAGTGACCCCTCAGGGCAGGGCAGGGCTGGGCAGGGCCCTTCAGCTGCAGGCTCAGGGCTCCTCACAGCTTCAGCTCCACCTCCTGCATTTCCAGGGGCCCTTCTCAGGAAGCACATCCCCCCAGAACACCTCCCCCTTCCCAGCCACCACAGGCTGTCTGGGATCTGCTCTGCAGCCCCTGCCCAGGCACAGCTGCCCCTGGGCACTGGGCTGGGGATGGCTCTGGCAGCACTGGCAGGGAGCTGAGCTGGGCACAGGGAGGGGCTGCTGGCAGGAACAGCTCCTCACCCAGAGACAGGCAGGCAGGGAGAGGCAGCTGCTGCCACAAGGGCTGGGCAGGGGGATGGGGGCCCCTCCCTGCTGTCCCTGTGGCACAGACCCCTTCCCTGAGCAGCTCCTGCCTGGGCTCCTTTCCCAGCTAAGCAGAGCCTGTGCCCTCAGGCCCACGGGGGCTGGGCTGGGCATTGCCCTGCAGCAGCCAGAGCCCAGGCAAGGACAGGGCCCTGATTTCCAGCTGTCTCTCTGTGTCCCTCCTCCCTTGGCAGCAGCACTGTGGCATTTCCCTGCCATCCCCTGCTGCCTGGGCTCTCCTTGTTCTCACCAGTGGCTTTTCTGAGCCACTGTGGGGTTTGGGGGGGCAGATTCCTGTGCAGACACAAACCCTTTGGGTGCTGCTGTGGGGATGTGTCTGTGGGAGCCAAGTGCCCAAGTGCCCTCCAGGCACCTTCAGGGTCTTCAGCTGTTTGCCTGGGTGTCCTGCAGGGCTGCAGGTGCCCTCCAGAAGGGCACAGCTCTGCCATAGGATTTCTGTGCTGCACAGGATCCCCACGGAGAAAACTCCTCAGTGCCAAATCCATGGAAATGCTCTGGGCAGCCATACTTGGGAGCTGCAATGATCCCTCTGTGAGGCAGTCTGGGAGGACAAAGATGAGATCCTAATCAGGCATCCTGAGGAAAGGCAAGCATTCTGTCAATGTGCTCTTTGAACCAGGATTCCTCTGCTCCTAGAAGTGCCTTGTTACTTTTTTTAAGGGAATTCCTAAGGGTGATCCCCCTTTAGCTCTAAGCTGCCAGCCAGGGGCAGCTGTGAACAGGAAAGATGTTCAGCTCTTGTCTCTGCACCAAGAGACCACCCCTTTGCCTCTCAGGACTCACAAGATTTCCCTTGGAGCACATTAGAAATGTCAGAAATTTCAACCATCCAAATTCCTCCTGGCAAGTGGAATTCAAACAAAATCAAGTCCCCCAAATCCCCTCCCTCTGTTCTGTGCTTGGGCAAACTGTGACCAGCAGTTCTGGAAACACTTTGATGCATCACAAGTGCATTTAATTGAAGGTCACCCTGTGCTCCAAGTTGCCTCTCACTGCACAGCAAGAAGGATTCCTCGGGAGCCCATTCCAGGGTCCCTGCTCTCAGTGCCCCCTTCAGCCAGCAAAACCCAGAGCTCAGGGAGAGGGATGCAGAGGGATCTTCCTGAAAAGAGGCCCTGAATGTTGAATTGCTTTGAGACATGTAAGATGTTTTGCTGATTGAGCCTGGCCTAATTCAGTTCTGCCTTTTTTCTCCTCAACAGAAAATCATACCCTGAGGCAACAAATGCCCAACAGCAGCTCCCTCACCCAGTTCCTCCTCCTGGCAATCCCAGACAGGCGGGAGCTGCAGCTCCTGCACTTCTGGCTCTTCCTGGCCATCTCCCTGGCTGCCCTCCTGGCCAACGGCCTCATCCTCAGCGCCGTAGCCTGGGACCACCACCTGCACACCCCCATGGGCTTCTTCCTGCTCAACCTCTCCCTCACAGACCTGGGCTGCATCTGCACCACTGTCCCCAAAGCCATGCACAATTCCCTCTGGGACATCAGAACCATTTCCTACCATGGATGTGCTGCACAGGCCTTTCTGCTTGTCTTCTTCATTGGAACAGAATTTTCCCTCCTCACCATCATGTGCTACGACCGCTACGTTGCCATCTGCAAACCCCTGCACTACGGGACCCTCCTGGGCAGCAGAGCTTGTGCCCACATGGCAGCAGCTGCCTGGGCCACTGAGTTTCTCAGTGCTCTGCTGCACACAGCCAATACATTTTCCCTGCCCTTGTGCCAGGGCAATGCCCTGGGCCAGTTCTTCTGTGAAATCCCACACATCCTCAAGCTCTCCTGCTCACACTCAGGCTACCTCACGGAAATTGGGCTCATTGTGGTTAGTGTCTGTTTAGTGTTTGGTTGTTTTGTTTTCATTGTTTTCTCCTATGTGCAGATCTTCAGGGCTGTGCTGAGGATCCCCTCTCAGCAGGGACAGCACAAAGCCTTTTCCATGTGCCTCCCTCACCTGGCCGTGCTCTCCCTGTTTGTCAGCGCTACAGCATTTTCCAACCTCAAGCCCCCCTCCATCTCCTCCCGATCTCCGGACCTGGTGGTGTCAGTTCTGTACATGGTGGTGCCTCCAGCACTGAACCCCTTCATCTACAGCCTCAGGAACCAGGAGCTCAAGGAAGCCATAAGGAAAATGATGACTGGATGTTTTTTTAAGAAGCAATAAACTGCCTCTTTTCTTCTGCAGAACACTCATTGTGTAACACATTTGGGGCCCAGCCTGCCTTCTAAAGCTTTTGATAGTGTTTGGGGTGGAGGGCTTCCCTGTCTTTTCCCTCTATTCCTGTCATTAACACTGAAATTTTGTTCTTCATCCCATATAATTGACTCTCTACCTCTTTTTTTTCACCCACAAAATATAGAAATCAGAAATCATGCTTTGTGTGCATTTAAACAAAATAAAAGTTTGTGCAGCAAGGTATTTGTCAAACATTCCCTGTGATAGTTTGTACATGAGGAATCACAATCTCGGAGCGTAAGAAAGGGCACAAATTCTTTTTTCCAGATTCTTCCTCCAAGACCCCCCCTGAAGCTGGAGGGCATTTCCATGTTTGCAGATCTGGAGGGAAAAAGAGTCCCAGCACTGCCAGGGAGCCCCAGCACTGGGTCTGTTCAGAGCTGCTCTCTTTGCACTCCCACCCTCTCCTTTCCTGCCCGTGCCCAAGGCCTGAGTGCTCTGGCAGCTCAGTCACTGTCCTGCTGTGGGTCAGGCCTGTGAGCACAGGCAGGGACAGGCCCTGGGCACTGCTGGGACAGGGCTGGGCTCCACAACAGCAGTTCCAGCAGCAAAGGGGTTCCCCTCCAGGCACTTCCTCAAGGCTGAGGTCTTTTCCCAACACTGGTATGGAGAAGAAGTCCCTGGATTCCTTTTGTTCCATGAGGCTCCCCAGTGTCACAATGACCTCTTGATTCCATGAAATTCCACTGTGGTCCAGGGTTTCTTTGTTTCCAAGAGCCCCTGCAGTGCCACAATGGCCTCCTGATTCCATGGGTTTCTGCAGTGTCACAATGGCCCCTTTATTTCAGGAGGTTGCCCACTGTCCCTGAGTTCCTTTGGCTCCATGGGGCCCTGGAGTGTCCCGGTGGCCTCTTGATTCCATGGCTTTCCCCAGTGTCACAATGGCCCCATAATTCCATGAGGTTCTGCAAGTTCCACAGTGGCTCCTTGATTCCATGAGGTTGCACAGCATCATCACACAGCTGAGCCCATCCTGATGAAAGTTCTGAGGAGGTTAGGGGGAACTGGGACAAAAGGGAGAAGATAATTAGGGAAGGAAATAGAGGCTTGGCCAACAGAGGGGAAATATTTGGATGAGGTAAAGACCAGGTTCAGGGAATGCTGAGGTTGCTGAAACACTGACTGTGCAAACATTCCTTTATGCATTTTGTAACCTCAAGCCCCAACACCACCCAAAAGTGCTGCTCCTCCCACTGAAAAGGAATCCACTGCTCTAATTCCAAGCCAGAAAAAGCCCAAACCCAGAACTCCAGACTCTTATTTGTCCTCTGATGTCCACCCCATTCCCAATCTTGTATTACCAGTATGAAAAGCCAAGCTTTAATCCTGACCCAGACCAACAAGCTCTTCCCCTAATCATGAACCAGACACTGCCACCAGAACAACAAACCTCCCAAAGTTCTGCCTAATAACCACCCTGAGCTCTAAACCCCAAGCCCTGACCATTAAGCACCCCCACAGCCCCTGGGAGCAGGGCAAGGACCTGGAGAGCCCAGAGCAGGTCCAGGGGGTTGGCAGAGGAATGGGAGGTGACCTGGATCTGCTCAGCTCTGCACTGACCCCCAGGAGAAGGGCCTGGGCTCTGGGAGGGATGTCCTGTGGGACAGGGGCTCAGGATCCAAGTTCAGAAGGCCAAGGGCACACGGCAACAGCCAGAGCTGGTGCAGAGCCATCAGGGAGGGTCTAGAAATGCTGCTGGGAGGGGGTGGGAAAGCAGGAGGGGTGTGTGCAGCCTGCAAGGCCAGAGCAGCAGCAGGGCCAGGGCAGGACAGCCTGCAGGAGAGATGGCCAAGGGCTCTGGCAGGGCTGCAAGGCCCAAAGGCACCCAGGCCTTTGTCCCCTTGCCTCTGGCAGCTGCCTCTGCCACTCAGGCCACCACAAGCAACTTTCCTGGCAGGTTCTGCCCTTGGGTTCTGCCTCACCCCTCCCTCAGGAGCCTGGCAGGGGTTGCCCAGTTTGGGCCTTTGTTGTTCCTCCCCCTCCCATCCCAGTGCCCCCCAAACAGCCCTGAGCCAGCCGGGAGGGACAGGATCTGCTGGGCCAGGGCCTGGGCCTGGGGCTCAGGCCTTGGCCTTTGTGCTCCACAAAACCAAGGCAGGCTTTGCTCAGCATTGCAGGGGCCTGCCCAGAGCCTTTGTCTGCCTGCACTCCTGGCCTCCAAGGAGCTGCTCCAAGGAGTCCCTGGGGAGGCTTTGGCAGTGCCTGCCCTCAGTGGGGCCCAGCAATGCTTCAAGGCACTTGGACTTTGGCTTCTGACTTCTTCAGCAGCTGCTTCAATCTTCTCTCAGTACCTCAGGATCATGGGCTGGGCTGCAAACACACCGTGGGGCTCATTAAATTCCAGAAATCCCTCAGGACCTCTTTGTCTTCCTTTAATTGTCTTCAAGGCAATTTCAAAACAAGTCTTCAAAATTTGTACTTTTTTTTTGTTTTAATTCAATTATGGATATTTTTTAGTTTAGAGGAGAGGTAATAGAGGTGTTCTCCAAGTGATCTTGATGCTGAGTGTCTCCTCAGGAGATCCACACTGACCCTGTCTGATCAATTTTGCTCCTCAGCCCCCAACCTCACCAGTTCTGACATGGCCCATCTTGGACTGACAGCTGATGCAACTCCAAACACTCTGTGGGACCCATTAAAACATTGAAAAACAAATTATTTTTCTTTCTTTAGTTGTCTTCAAGTCTTTAAGACATAAACAACTAATTAGAGTTGTTTTGTAGTTTAGCTAAGGAGGAACATTTTAAAGTGGAAGTCACCAAAAATATATTTTTTGATGAAAGAGAATGATTTACACAAAACCTTGGGATGCAAGAGGATCAGGATGCAAAGGATTAGGACACAAATATAAGGGGGCAAAAGAGATTAGTAGCATTTAATTATTGACCAGTTTAACAGTTATCAAGTGATTCAATAGCATTTGTTACAATTTTAACAGTGACTGGTATATTCACAACAGCATTCAAAACAACAACATTCCCACCACAGTCAATTCACACCCACACCCAGGCAGAGATGTGTGGACACATCAATAGCTGGGTGTGGAAAGGTCCCTCTCCCAAATTCTCCTTGTTGTCAGGGAAACACTCCCCCAAATCCCTTTGTGTTTCCCAACAAGGGTCTGTTGACAGACCCTGACAAGGGTCACAGCTGGAGGAGTGTTTGTGGAGGGGGATCAGAATTGTCCTGGGCATCAGGGACAATCTTTGGAGTGTCACAAACTGGAGGGTTCCCGAGCTGGGAGAGGCTGCCAGAGGTGTCCCACTGAGAGGGAGGTGCTGGGGAGCTGCCAGGGCCTCCCTCAGCCCCGCTGGTTGTGGGCTCCCAAGGTGACTGGCTTTAGTTATCTGCTGAATTTCCATCCTGGTGTCAGGAATGACTGGAGTTTCCAAACTATTTGGGAATTGTATCCAAACTGTTCCATTTGGGCTGTGATACAGGCAGGGAATGTTCCAAGGCTTTCATGGGATGACTGATTATCCTGTGTTCCCCAGCTGTTCCACTCTGGATTGTTCCCACCTTTATCATCCAGGAGCACCTGGTCCAGTCCAGGGACACTTCACCACACCCTGGTCCAGTCCAGGGTCTCTTCATTGCTCACCTGGTTTGGTCAAGGCTTGTCAGGAGCTCCTGAGATCATACCTATAAGAAGGATGGGCACAGACTTAGTTGTAATAAGACAAGTGATAATGGTTTTCAACTAATAAAGAGCAGATTGGAACTAGATATAAGGAAGAAATTTTTTACACTGAAGGTGATGAAACACTGGCACAGGTTGCCCAGAGAGGTCATAGATGCCCCACCCTTGGAAACATTCAAGGCCAGGTTAGAAAGGGCTCTGAGCAACCTGATCTAGTTGGACGTAAACCTCTTCATTGTGGGGAGGTTGGACTAGATGTCCTATAAAGGTCTCATCTGATTCAAACCATTTAGGATTCTATAGTTCTTTCCTACAGAGCCAAGGCCGACAAGGATCACACAGGTTTCAGACCCAGCTGAGCATCCCCTTTGATGGCCCAGCTGGCAGCTCTGCTAAAAAGCTGCTGCAAAGAACCTCCAGACCGAAAGGAGCTTTTGTGCTGGGCTGAGCTGTGGCTCTCAGGGCTGGGGGGTTGGCTTTTGGCTGCCAGGTGCCCACCAAGGCTCTCTCACTCCTCCTTCTTCTCCACTCCCCTTGGTGTCTGCAGGGTTGTTTCTCCCCCATTTCTCTCACTCCTCTCTGGGTTACAACACCCTGGATTTTATCCTTTCTCCAAAGGGTTATCACAGAGGTGCCTCTGGAATTGCTTTTTGGCTCAGCTTTGGGCACTGGCTGGTCCATTTTGGAGTCACCTGAAACTGGCTCTCTCTGACACAGAGTCAACTCCTGATCTCCTCTTCCCTAAGGGAAACCTGCAGCCCCCTCCCTGCTACCAAACCTGATCCACAGGGTCATTCAAGTGCCCAGGAATACAGGAGGTCATTGAGCCCATTATTCCTCAGGCTGGTCAAACAAGACTTTGTCCTCTTCCTGTCCCTGACTGCAGGTTCTTTGTGTCAGAGCAGAGCTGGGCTGGACCTCAGCCGTGCTTTGCTCCAGAGCCTGCTGGGGTGGGAGCAGATGGCAATGGACTGGATGAGTTGAGTTGGACTGGATGATCTTTGTGGGTCCCTCCCACCTCAGCATATTCTGTCATTCTGTGTTTGTTTGGGTTTGGTTTGGTTGTGTTTGGTCTTTTTCCCTTCTTTTGATTTTCCTTTCCTCTGACCCATGAGTTTTTCCTTCATTGTCTTGGGCCTTGCTGGGCACCTGATGGCAGGACAAGTTTATCCCACTCAGTCATCTTGACCACATTTTTTGTACAAGTCACCATTAACTGGAGGAGGTTTCTCACAGACTCGCTGCAACTTGGCCTCATCCACAAAGGAGTGGAAAGTGCATTTCATCCCATCATCCAGAGACATAATAAAGATGTTCCATAGGAATGGTCAAGGGCTGGTCCCTGATGGATGT